CGGAAGGTGAGGGTGGCGGTAAAGGTGGTGGCGAGGGTGGTGGTGACGGTGGCGGCAGGCGCGGTGGCGATGGTGGTGGCGGCGAGGGTGGTGGCGAAGATGGCGGTGGCGACGGCGGTGGAGACGGTGGCGGTGGCGACGGAGGCGGCGAGGGCGGTGGCGGTGAGGGGGGTGGCGAGGGCGGCGGTGGAGACGGAGGCAGGGATGGAGGCGGCGGGCTTGGAGGCGGCGAGGGCGGTGGCGGCGAGGGCGGTGGTGACGGTGGCGGCAAGGGCGGTGGCGAGGGTGGTGGCGGCGAGGGCGGTGGCGATGGTGGTGGCGGTGATGGCGGTGGTGAGGGTGGCGGCGGAGATGGCGGTGGCGAGGGTGAGAGGGATTCGCAGATGTGGTACTTGGTCTGCTGGCCATTTTGGTTGCAGCTCGTCGGACCTGAGGGGCTATCGAAGAAGAGCATATCTGGACGCCCGGCGTAGATCATGTTCTCGCACACAACACAGGTGCGCGTGTAGGTTGACGTGGGATTGTGAATCACAGGCACCGCATGGCCTCCATTCCTGGCTGTCGTGAAGTCGTATCCGGCGCCTTCGGCCGCCGTGACACAGCCCGCCGCGTCCCCGGAGTAATCTTGAAACCCAGCAGTGGCGCAGGTAGAATCACCAGAGACCTTGTGGTAGGTGACGGACTCGGGCGGAGCAGAGGGCGGCAGTGGGGGCGAGGGTGGCGGTGGCGAGGGTGGTGGTGAGGGTGGCGGCGGTGAGGGAGGTGGCGAGGGCGGCGGTGGAGACGGTGGCGGAGATGGAGGCGGCGGGCTAGGAGGTGGCGAGGGTGGAGGCGGCCAGGGCGGTGGTGGGCTGGGCGGCGGCGACGGCGGTGGCGGTGAGGGAGGTGGCAACGGCAGCGGTGGTGAGGGAGGCGGCGACGGTGGCGGAGGTGAGGGTGGCGGTAAAGGTGGTGGCGAGGGTGGTGGTGACGGTGGCGGCAAGGGCGGTGGCGAGGGCGGTGACGGCGATGGCGGTGGTGAGGGTGGCGGCGGCGATGGCGGCGGAGACGGTGGCGAGGCGGACGGAGGTGGCGGCGACGGTGAGGCGGACGGCGGCGGCGGCGAGGGCGAGGCGGAGGGAGGCGCCGGCGATGGTGAGGCGGAAGGCGGCGGCGAGGGCGACGCGGACGGCGGCGGCGGCGACGGCGATGCCGAGGGAGGCGGCGGCGATGGCGAGGTGGAGGGAGGCGGTGGCGAGGGCGAGGCGGACGGCGGTGGCGGCGACGGCGATGCTGAGGGCGGCGGGGGCGACGGCGATGCTGAGGGCGGCGGTGGCGACGGCGATGCCGAGGGAGGCGGCGGCGACGGCGAGGCGGACGGAGGCGGCGGCGATGGTGAGGCGGAGGGAGGCGGCGGCGATGGTGAGGCGGAAGGAGGCGGCGGCGAGGGCGACGCGGAGGGCGGCGGCGGCGACGGCGAGGCGGAGGGAGGGGGCGGTGACGGTGAGGTGGACGGCGGCGGCGGCGAGGGTGAGGCGGACGGAGCCGGTGGTGACGGTGAGGCGGAGGGAGGCGGCGGCGAGGGCGACGCGGAGGGAGGCGGCGGCGACGGCGATGTCGAGGGAGGCGGCGGCGAGGGCGACACGAACGGAGGCGGCGGCGATGGCGAGGCGGACGGAGGCGGTGGCGATGGCGAGGCGGACGGCGGCGGCGGCGACGGCGATGCTGAGGGCGGCGGCGGCGACGGCGATGCCGACGGAGGCGGCGGCGAGGGCGACGCGG